CCCCCCAAAACCCCCCCTAATATTAAAACCGAACCGCCGAAATCCAGTTTTAATATTAGGGAGGGGGGGGGAGTGGGGGGGCCCTTTAATAATAGGGCAAACGATTAAATATAAATAAATAAATAAATAAATATGTATATATATATATATACATGTGCATGCATTTGTACATGCGTGCGAACATACACTGACATACTGATATGCAGACATACAAGCATACAGAAATACCGACGTACAGACATACAGACATGTGCGCAAACAGACAGGCAACCAAACAGCCAGGCATGCATGCAGTGAACAGGTCGTACCCGGCAGTATTCAATCGTGGACTTTCTGGCTAGTGCATCGCGCCACGGCAACTTCACCATGGCACACGAAGAACATGCGTTCTCTCGGAAAGTTGATGATACCAAGTATGCCAAGTCGCAGCGAAATCACCAGGCTGCATCAAGAACAAGCGGTGCACGGCATACCTTGCATGGAGACTTCTCCAAACTACGTTTAGATCTTCAGATTTGCATTCCATGATGCTCTCCAATGCAAAACACCACCCAGTTGGACTTTACAACATGCGGCTACTTGTAAGCGGCATTACTTCGCAGCACAACCATGATCGGACGCGAGGCTTCAAGGTCGAGGATGCTGTGGTCCTGTTTCGAAGGTTCTTAAACGGTTTGCAGTTCAAAGGTTTGGTGCGAAAGCTTGAGGGTTCAAGGTCAGGGGCTCGCTGATGTTGGAGTTTGGGGTCGGGAGCTCAAGGTCAACAGCGTGGAATTTATTCTGCAAGTGTCAGTGTGCAGGGTTCAAGGTTTTGTCATCAGCCACATCAAACAACTTTTGTCTTCAACAGACCGAAGCCCTAAACTCTGAAATTCCTGGGTTCTCAAACCTTCAAGACCTAGACCGACGGTGACGCTGTTGACGCTCGAGTCCTGAACCCCAACACTGCGGGCTCAAAAGCCATCCCATGGTCCTCAGAATTTCGAAGAACTCTTTCGTTTACCATTGAGCTGCCATGGCCTACGCTTATGCAAGGTTCCGGTTTTTGCTACACCAAGATCTGAGCAACTCGACTATGGTAGCCGAGGAAGCTCAAACTTGTAGATAGCATCCACCAGACTATCATGCCAGAGACGTACATGGCTGAAGCAAACCAGGGTCAATAAATGTGGGTTGAACCTACTTGCAGTATAAGTAAAGTTGCCGGAGCTGACAGGTTGTTTCCCAGTTGCATGCTTATGTGGACCGCATGCCCGCAGGTTCGTGGGCAGATACTTAACAACATTGTCTTAGTTCGTTTATGTAGGAGCACGAAACGAAGCACGTCAGAGTGCACAATCGAGTTCCAGTTGGCGCATGCATGGTTCTCAAGCAGGCCTTGGATCCTTTGTCAAGTTGTTCGAAAGTCCCCTGTCAACCTCAGGATTGACGATGCTATCTCGTACTGGTTGGAAGAAACTATAAGCCCAAAACCGTTCAGCGTTCAACCTCAGCATGTAGTACGTCGGAGACCAAGAGGGTGCAGAAGTGCTGCAGAAGTACTGCGGATCTGGAATGAGGCCATTACCCTTTGGGTTGATGGGGCTCTATTGGGATTCCGCCGTGTCCAAATGCCACATCCCCAGTTAAACTGCGCATTTCCCCAGTGCGTCAGCCTCAAATCCCGAAACACCCAAAACCTCAGAGCAGAAAGAGGATCCTTCAGCTCAGGGGATATTTGGCAACCCTGCCTTGTGGAGCCTTGACTAAGCGCCCCCCCCCCCCCCACTGTTCTGGGACGGCCAACACAGGTGGCTGACTGTACGGCACGGCAGGCACAGTTTTGTGAGCTTCTTCGGGCTCATGAAATTCTTTGGAAAGTTCGAAAACTAGGTGGCGCTTGGGGAAACTGTAAGATTTCCTCTATGGTTCCTATAGAGGTACCTATTCAGAAATATTTTTGATGATCCCAAGACTACAACCCAGAGAATCAGAAGCTGTTCCTTGTAGTTTTGGCATCTCAGCAGGTTGATCGTTAGGTTTCTGCATATATCTGTTTCGTTTGCCTATTGCATGGTTGAGGGCTTTGAGTGCAATCTGGGAAGCAGGCAGATGGCTGCAAGCCCGAATACCTAATCCAGGGTTGCACTTCCGGCCCAGCAACTGCTAGCAACCCTGCGGCTTTTATTCAGAAGCGCCTTAGACTTCAGGCTTCCAAGGCTGATCAGACCTTTATTAGCAGAACCCCATCTGCTTGGCCATTTGGTACCCGACATCCTAAACTAAGCCTCGAACCCTCGTTTCCACCTGTATCCTTTTGAGTTTGCTGCATACCAAGAGCCCATGCTCGCCTGCGTGCACGATGCTTTGGACGGCAACTGCCAAGGACTCTTTCGTGGCATTGTCTTTGAAGGACGCGAATGAACAGGATCTCCACATTGATTCGTGTACTCCCGTAATATACGGGGCCTCAATAGTCAGAATAGGGTTTTGGGGGTCCTTCAGGGTATAAATATAATAAGGAACCCCAAAAATAATGAAGGTAATTATTGAGGCCCCTATACTAAGCCAGCTGTGTCGTCCTCCCCGGCGATTGGGCCTCACGCGGGTCAGCGGCTGCAGGAAAACATAGGGACGCTTTTGTATCTCGCGAACTTGCCTCTGAAGCACGGGACTGAGTCTAGCCCGGTCTTGCCAAGACCCTAAAGCCCTAAACCCGAAACCCCGAAACCCCAAACCCCCAAGCTCCAAGCTCCCTAAACCCCTAAACCCAAATCCCCTAAACCCCTAAACCCCAAANNAAACCCCTAAGCCCTAAACCCTAAGTGAGGAAGTGAGGAGTGGTCATCCGGTACATTGTGAGGCGAGCCAGCGCTCAGGCTCTAAGAAGACACCGGTTCAGACTATCCGACTTCGCCGGCGGGCTGTCTAACCCCTAAACCCTAAACCCT